AAGCTTTACTGCTGGGATTGCTTGCTTTTTGAAGTTTATCCAAATCAGCACATCGCCATCGGAATGCTTCAGGTCACCTCAGAGCTACTATCGCCTTAAAACATTTGGGGACACCAGGAGAGAGCTCCAGCTGGATGAGCAACCTTGCCGGGATGTCATCCGCTCATAATGAAAAGGTGAAGAGGAACCAAGGAATTTTGAAACGCCTCAAACTGTGTGGTGTACTTGTGCAAGCAGGAGGAGTGCCGTTCCGAGGTCACGATGAGAGTGTAACTTCATCAAACAAGGGGAATTACATAGAGTTGGGTGGATTTAGTGGCAGAATATGACATCGACCTGCACCACACCTCGCCACAATCAACACTCTTTACCGGATGTCCTCGAGGATTCACAAATGACCTGATCAGCGCTCTTGCTAGTGTAATAACGGATAGCATGAAAAAGGAACTGAGGAAGGCACCTTTTGTAGCGGTCATGTTGGATGAAAGAACAGACATTAGCAACGTGGGCGCAGATGTCATGTGCTTCGATATGTCACTGAAGATGGGATAAAAGAGCGTTTTTTCAAGTACGAAGATGTGACAGAGGACAAACGAGCAGAGGCCATAGCTACACGGCTGCTGGAGTTCCTGAGGGAGAGTGGCTGTATTGAAAAAGTGGTCGCACAGTGCTACGATGGAGCAGCTGTTATGGCCTCTGGATTGAATGGGGTGCAAGCGAAAGTTAAGGAAACAATTTCACAGGCCCTTTTCATTCACTGCTATGCTCACATCTTATATCTCGTTTTGGCAAAGGGAGCTTCCAAGATAAGAGAGTGTAAGGTCTTCTTCTCCCACCTCTCTGGCTTGGCCACCTTTTTCAGCCGCTCAGCAAAGCGCACCAAGCTACTGGATGATATTTGCCAGCATAGGCTTCCACGGGTAGCTCCTATTCGCTGGTGCTTTCATTCTCGCTTGATCTTTTATCCACCACGAAAGTCGAGGAGACCCAGCAACGTTCCTCAGGCCCGTATCCCTCCCAATCGACCAATAATTGGCGTCCTCGGCCCTGTTTGCAGACCGACAGAAGTTTCCTGACCGTGTACACCGGGCCACCATCAACGATCCGGGGTGGAGGGGGGGGTTTGTAGGGGGGAACCAGAGTGCTCTCTTGAACTGGCTTGAGTTTGCTGACATGGAACGTAGGATGAACCTTCAAGTACCTGGGGAGTTTGAGGGCGCACAGAGACAGGGTTAATGATTTTTGAGACTGGGAAAGGACCCACAAACCTCGGTGCCAACTTCTTGGAATGAACATAAAGAGGTAGGTCCTTGGTAGAGAGCCAGACTTTCTGTCCCGGCTTGTAGAGGGGGGCCGCACGTCTGTGACGATCCGCCGCTGACTTCATCCGGGTCGAGGTCCGGAGTAGCGCCTGCCGAGCACCGGCCCAGACCCGCTGACAGCGTCGAACCATAGCGTGCGCGGATGGCAACTTGACTTCTTCTTCATTGGCAGGGAAGAGAGGGGGCTGATATCCGTTTGCACACTGGAACGGGGAGAGACCAGTGGCAGCCGATAGAAGAGTGTGTGGGCATACATCTACCCAGGTCAGATGATCGCTCCAAGTGGATTGCTTCTGGGACACGAGACACCTGAGGCAGGTTTCGAGGTCCTGATTCAGGCGTTCTGTCTGACCGTTGGACTGCGGGTGATAACCGGAGGACAAGCTGACGGTGGCGCCGAGGAGCTGGCAAAACTCCTTCCAGAAGATGGAAGTGAACTGAGGACCTCTGTCTGAACTATGTCGCTGGGAAAACCATGAATTCTGAACACATGAGTAAGCATGACCTCTGCCGTTTTCTTGGCAGAGGGAAGTTTGAGCAGAGGAATGAAATGTACCATCTTTGAGAACCGATCCACCACTGTAAGGACGGTAGTGTTACCTTTGGAAGGTGGGAATCCAGTCACAAAGTCCATAGAGATATGCGACCATGGTCGTTGAGGCACTGGGAGAGGCTGGAGCAGACCCACCTGGGCCTGGGAAGAAGTCTTATTCTGGGCGCACGCTGGACAGGCCGCCACATATTCAGAGACCTCTTTTCTCATGGCCGGCCACCAGAACCGCTGCTTTATGGCAAACATAATTCGCCGGACCCCCGGATGGCATGTGAGCTTGGACGTGTGAGCCCAGTGGATTACCTGAGAGCGTAAAGACACAGGGACAAACAAACGGTTGTCTGGACACTCACTAGGTGCCGGGCTCACAACATTAGCCTGCTTCACATCTGTTTCTATCTGCCAAGTTACCGACCCAACCACACAGTTTAGTGGAAGGATTGATTCAGGTTTCTTGGCATTAGAGACAGGCTCAAAGAGACGAGACAGTGCGTCTGGCTTACGGTTTTGCGTACCGGGTCTAAAGGATAACGTAAAGTTAAACCTACTAAAGAACAGAGACCACCGGGCCTGACGTGAATTGAGTCTCTTGGCTTTTCTGACATACTCTACGTTCTTGTGGTCTGTCCACACAACAAACGGTTGCTCCGCCCCTTCGAGCCAGTGTCTCCACTCCTCCAAAGCTGCTTTGACAGCTAGTAACTCCTTGTTCCCCACATCATAGTTATTTCCAGCTGAGGTCAACTTACGCGATAGATAAGCGCAGGGGTGCATCCGGTTATCCTTGGAGGACCTCTGGGACAACACAGCCCCTATGCCCTCGTTGGACGCGTCGACCTCAACCATAAACTGTCTCTGGGGATCCGGAACAGTGAGTACGGGAGCCGTGGTGAATCCTTTCTTGAGGCACTGGAAAGCAGACTCGGCCTGGGGGGTCCACTGAAAGGAAACTTTGGAAGAGGTGAGAGCATGTAGAGGAGCGGCTACAGAACTGAAGTTGCGTATAAACTTTCGGTAAAAGTTGGCAAACCCCAGGAACTGTTGGACTCTCTTGCGGCTATCTGGAGTAGGCCAGTCGGTCACCACACTGACCTTGGACGGATCCATCTGGAACTGATTGGCGGTGATAATGTAGCCCAGGAAAGAGACAGTGGTTGCATGGAAATCGCACTTCTAAGCTTTCACATACAACTGATTCTCCAGAAGCTTCTGGAGGACTTGGCGGACTGAAGACTGAATATCTGGAGAGAAAATCAGAATATTGTCCAAATACACGAAAACAGACACATTCAAAAATTCTCTCAAAATGTCATTGACCATAGTTTGAAAAACAGCAGGAGCATTGCATAGTCCAAAAGGCATAACCCTGTATTCGTAATGTCCGCTAGGTGTGTTGAACCCCGTTTTCCACTCGTCACCCTCTCTAATCCTGACGAGGTGGTAGGCATTTCTCAGATCGAGCTTGGTGAACACCTTAGCTGACTGAAGTAGTTCAAAAGCTGAAGACATCAGCGGGAGAGGGTGGCGGTTTTTCACCGTAATGTCATTTAATGGACTGTAGTCAATGCATGGTCTTAAAGACCCATCCTTCTTCCCCACAAAGAAGAATCCTGCGCCCGCAGGTGATGAAGAGGGACGGATTATCCCCGCTTTCAGAGAGGAGGAGATGTAGTCATCCATGGCCGCCCGCTCTGGTCCTGAGATAGAATATAAGCGCCCCCTAGGGATGGGTGCGCCAGGTAACAGGTCGATGGCACAGTCAAACGGACGATGAGGAGGCAATGATAGTGCATTGGTTTTGTTAAAAACCTCTTTAATGTCATTGTAGCAAGAGGGGACCTTGGAAAGGTCAGGAAAGTCTGAGCTACTATCAGCCACTGCAACAGTACGTGGAGCTTTACATGAATGTTCACAATTCTCTCCCCATCCCTTAATTTGTCCTGAACACCAGTCTATATGTGGGTTGTGTGTTTTTAACCAGGGAAACCCCAAAATCAGCGGATGCTGTGCAGAATCGAACAGATGAAATTGCATCATTTCCACATGATTATTGTCAATAGTCACTTGCATGGGTTCTGCACAGTCAGTGACTCTACACATAAGTCTGCCGTCTAGGGCACTGGCATTGACGGGATGTTTGAGCGGAACAGTCTTAATATTAAGACGTTTCGCTAGACCCCAGTCTATGAGACTTTCATCAGCCCCAGAGTCAATTAAGGCCCCCATAGTGTGTGTCTGACTATTGGCAGTGATATCTACCTGGGTGAGTGTGCGAGGAGGATAATCAGATGAAATTTTGCTCACCAACGCCCTCCTCATGGTTGGTGAGCATGCCCTTTTCCCGGACATATCGCCTGCTGGTGTCCCATATGACCACAGTAGAAGCAGCATCCCTCCTGCAGGCGGCGCCGTCGTTCCTCTGGAGAAATCCTCATTCTCCCGAGCTGCATAGGTTCCTCCGGTGCCTGTGGTGGCGCTGTCACTGCTGGGCCTGATGAAGAGGCGAACAAGGAATCCCATGAGGACTTCCTACCCAGAGAGCGCCCCTGGTGGCTGGGAGGTCTTGTTGCGACTCGGCGTCGTTCTCTCTCTCTTTCCCTGATGCGATTGTCAATTCGGAGAGACGTGGAAATGAGTGATTCGAGGTCTTGTGGTAACTCTAATGGAGCCAGGTGATCTTTAATTGTCTCTGATCGTCCATTGCGGAAGGCATCTATTAATGCTGGAGTGTTCCAGCCACTGTCTATGGCTAAGGTACGGAACTCTATGGCATAATCTACTACGGGCCTTGAGTGCTGTTTGAGCTGCATAAGAGCCCGAGTGGCGTCACCGGTAGGTGAGGTAATATCAAATATGCGGCTCATAGTGTCTTTGAACGCTATGAAGGATCTACAGATATTGGAATTTCTAGACCACTCCGCAGTGGCCCATGCGGCAGCTCTGCCAGTTAAGTGGGAGATCATAAACGCTATCTTAGCCTCATCAGATACAAAAGCTGCTGGATTAAGTTGGTAATGTAAATCACACTGGACTAAGAAGGCTCTGCAGTTTTGGTCAGTTCGTTCTGTTAGGAACCGTGACTCCCTGATATGAGGACTCAATTGCACAACCCGGAGACGAAAAGGTTTGAAGAAAAATAAACTTTAATGGATCAAAAAACAAAGAAAACACTCTTTACAGAGTGAGTGACATAACGGTCACAAAACAAAACGCTCTCATGGAGGATATCAAAAAAGGTACTTGGTCTCTCTATGGCTGCTTGGATCTGACTTCTTGGAATGACGAACAAGACGAACTGACAACAGACAAGGGGAGACAGGACAATATATACAAGAGGTAAGTGGGAACAGGTGGAAACAATCAGGGGCGGGGCAGACGCTGACGATGGCGGGAAACAAGAACCAAGGAAGTAAAGGCACCTGGAATGAGACAAGGAGTACAAAATAAAACAGGAAGTGAAACAAACAAAACAAACATGAACGTGACAAATACATAACAAACTAACATAATTGACGGGACACAACAGCACAGGCAGAGCCCTCTACTGGACTCTATGGCTACTGCCCTCTAAACAGTGTTTAAAATGCAGGGAATAGTGCATCAAAGGACGGACTTAAGACCTCCAGCATGTGTCCCTAACATGGGCACTTCCATAACCTTGCACACCGAGTGCCCGGGTACCCGCACTTAAGCGCTCCCTCACAGACTAAACCCAGATATTCACACCTCCCAGAACCTCATGCATCTGGTATCCTTAAAGGGGGGTGGATTTTGTGGTGCTTTACTTTCCGCCCCTCACCCCTTATTGGCACCACCACCACTTCTGGGCTGGAGGTTCACACACTTTAACTTTTTTTCTCCCTCTTCTGCCTTCTTGCCTCTGCCAACACTTGAGCACTCCTCACAGGGTTCAGCACCAAGGAGAGTGCCTCCCCAGTGCTGATGGAAAGTGGCACTTTAGCTGCCCCTGGGAATCCCTTACATTCCTCCAGAGTGTTGTGCCAATAAATGAAAAAATTAATTAATTAATAGAACCGGGCCAAGGGGGGGAAAGTTAAAAATAAGTGTCCGAAGATAGGCACTTGTGAGGTGGGTAGAGTCCCCTGTCAACTCCCCTTATATTCCTCCAGAGCGTTGTGCCAAAACTGAAGAAAAAAGAAAATAAATAGATCCGGGCCAAAAGGGTGAAAATGAAAAAAAGTATCCAAAAATAGTGACTCATAATGTGGGTAGTCCCCTGTCAACTCAACTTGCATTCCTCCAGAGGCACATTTGTCAGAGCAGTGTTAATTTCGTCAACGAAAACTATGACGAAAAATGTTCGTCAACGACCTTTTTTACATGACTAAGACGAGACGATGACGAGCTAAAAATAGATTCTCGATAACGCAAACTTTGATGAAATGTATTTTTAGTTTTCGTTAACGAGACGGGACTAAGGTGTTAATGGTGGACTATCGGACATTCAAAATGCAGGGTATTTCCCCCAATTGTCCGTCTTGTCTGTCAAAATGCATTTTACGTTTCTAACTTGCAATATCATTATTTCCGCTCTCTTCAATCCAGAAGAGCGATCTCCCTGTGTCTCTTTGTGTGCGGGGGTGGGGCCTAACAGACACGCTGCAGTGGCACACAGAGATCTGCCGGGGACGGACCGTTCAGAAGTATAGAGACACTCTAAAAGGCTCTATGTGGACAAAGCTCGTTCGCCATTAGTGTTAGCGCGTTGACACGAGTAGAGTAGTCTGTCCAAACAGCCGCCAAAAGGCGTCATATTCAGTTGGGGAAATGTACAATTTTCGACTTCCTTAACTCGTAGCTCTGTTGCCCCAATTACGAGTAACGTTATCACATCAGGTGTGCAGAGGTGGGAGAAGTACTCAGATCTTGTAGTTACGTAAAAAAATACCATAGTGTTGGAAGAGTTCCTCAAGTAAAAGTATGATCATCATAATATAGTTAAAGTAGCGACAGTAAAAGTAGTGCAGATTTGTCCACTTCAGAATAATATATATGATATGTTTTATAATGATTGATCATTAAAGTGTTCTCAAAGCTGGTAAAGGTGCAGCTCGTTTGAATGACTTTGTATACTGCAGGGTAGCTTGTGAATTTACTCCAGGTGGAACTAAAGTCTGATTTAACACTTGATTATATTTCACATCATTCATCCACATCTGTGAAGTAACTAAAGGTATGAAATACATGTAGTGGAGTAGAAGTACACCATGTACCTCTGAACTGTAGTGAAGTAGAAGTACACAGTAGCAAAACATTTAAATACTCCAGTAAAGTACCTCAACATTTTACTCAAGTACAGTACAATATTTTAACATAATTATATATATTTAATTTAGTTCACATTTAAATAAAGCAATTAATTCGGTTAACAATTTGTTAGTATTTCCTTTAAAAAAATTACAAAAAGTAAATACAAGAATTCCGTTAAAGAACTGGATCGATAAGCAGTATCGCTAAGACTAGTAGTACCGTAGAAAACCTTAAAGATACCCATCCCTAGATATTACACAAGTCAAGTGTTAAGAGAGTGAAATGTTGCTCTACGAATTTCAACACTTGATGCTGTCCCATTGATTCCAATGTCAGAAACCTGTATTTGACTGAATTGGTTTAAAGAGACAGCACATTTTGACTAAAAGTTGACTAAAATGTAATTTTTCATCGACTAAAAGTAGACTAAAACGTTTTGAGTTTTCGTCGACTAAAAGTAGACTAAAAACGTTTTGAGAAAATGTAAAAATAGTGTCCAAAAATAGTGCCTCATGAGGCGGGAAGAGTCCCCTGTCAACTCCCCTTACATTCCTCCAGAGGCACATTGTCAGTCAACTTTTGTGAGAACCAGACTGGGGGGGTCTTGAGGCACAAAATAATGCCGACCCAAAGTGCATGGTGAGCGGACACTTCACCTCCGTGTTTGCAGACAGCCGTTTTTTTTGTGCACCCAAAAACCGGGTTTCCGATTTCGTGCAGACTGTAGTCCAAAATGTATGGATGAATATTTTTGACGGAGAAGGGGAAATGAAGCCTTGGACACTTTCCCCCTTCTCCGTTGCAACTTACAACGGAGAAGGGGAAAAAAGGACCCAAAGACCCAAAGGGTTGAGCTTTTTCGGGCCCCATCTCCGTTGGCACTTAGTCATTTTTTCGACCATTTTTTTAACTTCATTTTTTATTATTTTAAGATATAATTAACCGTTTTCTTCACTTTTTTCTTCTTTCCACGGGTGGGTGCGCTTGGCAGGCCGCTTATGAGCACCCAAACTCGGCCTGGAACCTCCAGGATTTGTGGGCTAAGCTCCATAAACTGACAAAATCACCCAGAAATGTCACTTTCCTAGTCCAATACAAATACATTTAAATAGTAAAAGGTACAATTGTGCTCCGAATTACCCGGAGATGGATGTATATAGCCCCATGATAGTGATTAACCTGTTAAGCACTGAGTCTGTTTTTCAGGTCTCAGGCTCGAAAATGACATTCCCAGATTCAGATTTAACATAGTAACATAGTAACACAGCTGACATCTCTCAGTGGATGTCTGCTCACCACCTCAAGCTCAACCTTGACAAGACTGAACTGCTTTTCCTTCCGGGAAAAGATTGTCCCACTCTTGACCTAACAATCAACATCGGCACCTCTGTTGTTTCCCCGACTCAGACTGCAAGGAATCTGGTGTGACCCTAGATAACAAACTGTCCTTCACTGCAAACATCGCTGCTACAACCCGCTGCTGCAGATACACGCTTTACAACATCAGGAGGATACGTCCCCAGCTGACCCAGAAAGCCACGCAGGTTCTGGTCCAGGCTCTCGTCATCTCACGCCTAGACTACTGCAACTCCCTCCTGTCTGGTCTACCTGCATGTGCCATCCAACCTCTGCAGCTCACCCAGAATGCAGCGGCTCGTCTGGTCTTCAACCTTCCTAAATTCTCCCACACCACGCCGCTCCTCCGCTCCTTTCACTGGCTTCCGGTAACTGCTAGAATCCACTTCAAGACAATGGTACTTGCGTACCATGCTGCGAATGAATCTGGCCCTTCCTACATCCAGGACATGGTTAAACTGTACACCCCAGCACGTGCACTCCGCTCTGCATCAGCCAAACGACTCGCTGCGCCCTCGCTGCGAGGGGGACCCAAGTTCCCATCAGCAAAAACACGTGGGTTTGGTATCCTGGCTCCAAAATGGTGGAATGAGCTCCCCATTGACATCAGGACAGCAGATAGCTTACACATCTTCCGGCGCAGACTGAAAACTCATCTCTTTCGACTCCAATTCGAGCGATAGAACTATTAACAAAGCACTTATACTAATAAAGGACTGGCTTATCTAAAGCCAGTTGAGTAGCTCTTGAAATGTTTTTGCTCTATGAAACCTGATGTACTTATATGATTCTGTTTTCTTCAATTTTGTATTTTGTTGGTTGAACGCACTTATTGTAAGTCGCTTTGGATAAAAGCGTCAGCTAAATGCAATGTAATGTAATGTAATGTAAAAAAACTGTAAATTATAGTGTCCGTCCAAAATTATTTTTTACTTATAGTGAAAACTACCCTTGGATGATGGTAAGGTAGACTAAAAGCTTTAGGAATCCAAAGTAAAACATATAATAAGTACCCTGTATCGAGATTGATGCAAACCAGGTGACATTTGACCTTTTTAGAGAGGTTTAGCAAAAAAAATTCACCTCTAAGGTGATTTGGGTGGAAATGGGCGTTATTACCATTTCTCTGGAACCCATTTTTCGATTTTGGTGATTGACATCTCTTTTTGACCGTTAGAGCCAATAGAATCGAAGGGGAATTTCCACATACACACACATGTTACCATTGAGAAATGAGAGCTATGTGCACACAGCTTTGCATGAGAGCGAACCTATCTCTCGCTCTGACATCTGGAAACGGAAAAAGCAGTTTTATTGCTTATGGATTATCATAAATCATTTCATAGGGACACAGACACATTGGATTAACCTATGGATTAACCTTCAGCAGCGTTTTTTACCGTTTTACTGCCATTGAAGACCACTTTTGACCAGACAACGACCAAGGTAAGCCATGTTGCCGTTTTTTAGCTACCTAGCGCCACATGTTTTGATGTCTGTTCTTGTAATATCTTAGCGAGTTCTTATCATGGAGTGATAATGTAGGTACCGATCGATTCTGTGTCTTCTCACGATGCTAATCAATGGGTTGGACGTGCAGCTACAATAAGTAATAAGGGTATTAGGAGTGCGTTTCTGTGCAGTAATAACAATTATTTTCATGGAAAAAAGTGTTAAAACGCCTGATTAAAGCATATACAGGACCCCAGTGAGCTCCAGTGTATGTGCATTGTTTCAGGGAACCATATTAATGATAACATAAATGCATTTAAATGCAAAAATAATGATTTAAAATTATTTTAGGGGAAAAAGTGTGTAGAGAACCTCACTTTACAAGGCAGAAATAGTGATTAAAATGCGGGGAAAGTGTCTTAAATATGGACATAGAGTACCCAGAGAACCAGGCTGCAGCACCTGGAGGAACAGGCGGAGAGGGGAGTGCTTTAGTATGGGTAAGAAAGTGAGGTATTGAAGCCTCAAATTGATGGACTTTATTTAGTATTGAAAAAGGTTAATGTATTGTACAATGTTGTACAATGCAGGGACCATTTCAATGCAAAATCATTAGTAACTAACCCTAACCCTAACCCTAACCCTAACCCTAACATCATATGTGTAATTCGTGGCACAATTCAAACAATAATAATAATAATTCTTATTACAGACACATGCATTTCCTAACATTCGGTCTATATGCTGTAAAATGTATTATCTCTTCGATTTACACACGGCATCTATTGCACGTCTGTCCGTCCTGGGAGAGGGATCCCTCCTCTGTTGCTCTCCCTGAGGTTTCTCCCATTTTTCCCCTTTAAACTGTGGGTTTTCTCTGGAAGTTTTTCCTTGTACGATGTGAGGGTCTAAGGATAGAGGGTGTCGTTTTTCTCATACTGATATTCTGAACAATCTGTGCTGTTGTATTTGCAGTCCCTACTGTAGGCTATTTTTATTATATGTACAGCACTTTGGCTCGACCAAAAATCGTTTAGAAATGTGTTATATAAATAAAACTTGATTTGATTTGATTTAAAAAGACAGGTGCTTATAATGATCATTTTCAGAAAATGTATAAGAACAAGAATGTGTTTTTTGAACATTAAAGTTCGTAATTATGGGCTACTAAAATCCCAAAACACAATTGAGAATGTGCATGATAAGTCCCCTTTAAATCATGTTACCAGGTAAAAGGTTTTTTAAGAGTTTTCGGCCCACTTACTGATATGTATCTTGTTATGAACACACTCTAAACATTAGCTGTAACAATCAGAAACACCTTTTCCATCAAGGAAGTTGTGGAGGAACTGGGTCTGTGGGCCTGGGTCCACCAGGAAGGAAGCCGCCTCATGATGATGAAAAGACGATGTGAACACATCTTTGGGGTTCCTCGTCACATAGATGACCTGCAGTGATGACATGACGTCAGACCCTTTCCTTCACACATACTGTCTGTGATGCGTTTATCACATTGAATCTGATCCACCTTTAGTTGATAGGTTTACCTTTGGCTTACTTCAAAGAAAGATGGTGGCATCATGTTGTACTGGAAGTGTGTAGTCAACAGTCGTGGAGAGGGCCTCTGTTCAAGTTCGAGGGAGGCGGTCTGCTGCAATTCAAGCCAGGGAACACGTTTCCAGTTAACAATATTGTCAACAGGTTCTGGATCTCCTCCACTCATGATCAGAGGGACAATCTCCTTCATCCAGTGTGTACCTAAACAAAAAGAAAAAAAGATTTTCTCCAGTGACCACGTCGTTAGTCTGCTGCTCTAATTATGTCAATTAGAGTTATGACATTATCGTGTTCTGTGACACAGGTGTTTATATTTGAGCTAACAACGTGTCCAGAGATCAAAGGTTTCCATGGTGATCAGTGAGAGGAGAGCATTTTCATTGTCCTGAATGAGAGATAAACCTGTTACATGTGAACGTTTTGTTGAAGAACCGTAACAGATATCGGTGTGAAATATCAAAGTGTGAAGCATGTCAAGGAAGTTGAGCATCTGAAGTGTGCTTTTTGTGTACTTTCGGGTTAATAATGTGGCCTTTTTGGCAGATTAACTAAAAGTGTACGGCTGCTGTGGTGGGGAAAGATGAGGCTGAACTTATAATGGGTTTTGATGGAGACATGTTGAACGTTTTTGTCACTTCATGCCCTCAAGAGGCATTTTGTTTAATTGTTTTGCTTAATTTTTTGTTATTTTTCAAGCTACAAGATGTTTTCCTACTTTTGTCATGAAAAATTATGTCTCAGGAATGTAGGGTTTAGGAATGATGGCAGGTATAAAAGAAAATATGAGGGCAAAATTAAATCTGTCCTCCACTCTAGCTGTGACATCACGCACTCTAAAATCTAAAGAAGGCCTCTTTACCAAGGTCTGAACAATGTTTAATATCTCTAAAAGTACAAATCAGATTTAAAAGTTGTGTTACACGAATAATGTCAGGAAGATGTGTAACATCTTAAAGTTGGAATGAGGTTTCTGAGTGAAAGTATGAAGGAGCAGCAGTTGAAGAAGGAGCAGTTAGCAGTTGAAGTTGCATGAAGATTGTTGAAGTCTGAAGAGTTTCTCCATTGACTTCCATGTTAAAATGGAATGAATTATGGGATGTATCTCTGGAATTATGAAAGTTATGAATGATACAAGTAATTGCCATTGATTCCAGACCGAGCTGAACGTTTTGATGTTTGAACGGAGTTTCTGCGATGTTCAATGTGGGAGGAGAAGTGGTGCAAAATAACCCGGCGGAATAATAAATAATTTTGTGCGTAGCATAACAGATAGTTGGAATGCTGTGTCAGCATTCCCACTAAATAACTCGTTTTATACCATTTCAAATCAGAATCAGAGGAACTAACTTGCTGATACTTGTATCATTGGCATACAGTAGTAGGATCATTGTCCTCAACCGGACCTCAGACCATGGACAGAGAGAGCATGGTACTGCTGTAGGACCCCAGATGTCTTTGAACACTGCCTAAGGACAACCCAACGGACCCATCTGAAAAATGAGCTAGCTATAGCTAAAAAGCCCATCTTTTACAGTAACAGAAAACCCAGTACATATATCTACACTGCAATTATTGACAGTGGCGGTTCTAGACCAATTTGACTGGGGGGCCGGCTGGGGCCAGTTATTTTCTGAAGGGGGCCCAATAAATGCAGGACGAAAAAGACAAAGACAGTATGAAGTAATTGTGCATAACAACAATGCAATACAGCTATTGGTATTTGTTTCAGTACACATATTTATTTCAGATACTTATAGTTACAGTTTTTACGCTCTAATGGGTCCGACGAGAATGACAAATAGCGTTAGTTCCGCCTATTCTTTTTTTTTAGGGGTGCCACAGGGGGGTCCAAAGTCTCCTGCCCCCCCCCCCCCCCAGAACCGCCCCTGGTGGGCAATGAAGTATATTTTGAAAGACATGGGGTCTAGTGTTTAACAAAAGTGTTAAAAAAACAACAATGACGGCAGGCAGGGTTTAGGCATTATATTTAAACTATACATAGACATGTTTTTATATATCTGAGACCTGTAATATCTGCCTAAAAACAGTACAATAGGAGACCTTTAAGTGTTGTTTATCACACACATATCACACATATAAACAGCTGTTTCCTTCCCTACCTGCATGCACATGTTACTCTGTTTTTACCTCTGTGTGTCTGTTGGTATTTGACCCTGAGTGCAATGCTAATCTTCTACATATCATATTCTATTTACATATATGTAGACTTCTTGCACTATTTGTATTTTATGATATATGTTGCATTGTTGGAGGAGCTCAGGTCAGAAGAATTTCATTGCCATTTCTACACTGTAGCTGCTGAGCATATGATGATAAAACCTTTGAATCTGGAATCCAGTGTGTGTGTGTTCACATATTCTGGTCCTTATTTCTGATTCTCCCGTGTTTCCTCAGACTGTGTCAGCGTTTGCTCCGATCTGTAACCCGGCTCAGAGTCCCTGGGGTCAGAAGGCTTTCTCTGGATACCTGGGGTCGGACAGAGACCCCTGGCAGGTGAGAGGAAACACACCTGAGTGTCATCAGATCTCATCATCACACTAAAAACATATATATTTTTGTTGTGGTTGTATAAAAGTACAAGAACGTACAACATATATGAAAACAAAGATGGGTTAAAGCAGAATGTTTGGTTGGATGAAAATATTTTATGTGAAGTTTGGAAATAATGATACTGATCTTATTTGGTAATTACATTACCCACAATGCATTAGCTCCACCACAGATTCAAGTGTGTTATGCTAGTGGCTGTTAATGTATCCTGCAGAAGAGCCTGTGAAGTCACGTATTTCTGCAGATATTTAACTTGTTTAGACTCGTACTTTAGATGATGTGTAGAAGTACTTCAGGTGTTTAGCTTGTCTAAAGAATGTGCAAAATAGATGAAAACAAAGATGGATTAAAGCAGATTCTTTGGTTAGATACACATAGTTTATGTTAATTTTAGAAATAATTATCATGATCACATTTAGTAATCTATTTTAAAGAGCATTTAAAAGCAAGCTGGAGGTTTATAGTGTAGAAAAAGCACCTATTTTTCTGTTTCTTTAATATCTATTCTAGCTATTTAAATATTTATTGGAGCCTCCAGATTTTTATGACGTTTGTATATTGACTCGTTGTTACGATGATTTGTCTTTTTAATGCAAACTGAATCTACCGAAACGATACAGTAAATAACCGTCAACTATTTTAGTATTTCAATAAATGTTGATGTTTGTGTGTAACTGTGTGTGCATGTGACTGTGTGTGTGTGTCTCTGTCTGTGTGTTCCTGTGTGTGTGTGTGTTGTGTGTGTGTGTGTGTGTGTGTGTGTGTGTGTGTGTGTGTCTCTGTCTGTGTGTGTATGTGTGTTCCTGTGTGTGTGTGTGTGTGTGTGTGTGTATGTGTGTCTCTCTCTGTCTGTGTGTGACTGTGTATGTGTGTGTGTGTCTCTCTGTCTTTGTGTGTGTGTGTGTGTGTGTGTGTGTGTGTATGTGTGTTCCCGTGTGTGTTTGTGTGTGTGTGTGTGTGTGTGTCTCTCTCTCTCTGTCTCTGTGTGTGTGTGTGGTGTGTGTGTGTGTGTGTGTGTGTGTGTGTGTGTGTGTGTGTGTTGTGTGTGTGTGTGTGTGTGTGTGTGTGTGTGTGTGTGTGATGCTGTGTGTGTGTGTGTGTGTGTATGTGTGTGTTACAGGAGTACGATGCCACAGTATTGGTTGCTTCGTACCCCGGCCCTCCATTGGACGTCCTGATCGATCAGGGGCGGGAATATCAGTTCCTGTCGGCCAATCAGCTGCTGCCAGACAACCTGATCGCCGTCTGCTCCGAGAAGAAGATCCCCGTCGTCTTCAGACTGCAGCCGGTACGTCTAACGCCTCTTTAAAGTGTCTCAGAAACACGTCTTTATAACCGTCATCCTCCGTATCACTCTCTACTCTCACTATCTGTGACATATCCAAGACTGTGATAAAAAAAAGAAGCCACTCCCCAGATATGTATTATATGGAAAACAGTGATTTGATGTTTTCAAAATGGCATTTAAAGGGTTAAAATCCTGACAATGATTACATACTTGGTATTTTTTATTAGGACTGAAGTTGCTTTACAAATTGAACGCAAAAAAGTGGTGAGTCAAAGTTTTTGGAATGACTAATTAGGGAGTCAATTTGATCTTATTTTCTCAGAGTGAATCCTCCGCTTTTTTTTATCGTTTTAATGCCATTGAACACGACTTTTGATCAGAACCAACAGCTAAGGTGAGACGATCTCGTGTTGTGATGTCTGTGTTTGTTTCCCCTGTCGCGAATTCTGATCGCTCAGTGATGATACCAATACCTATTAGGGCTGTGCATCTTCACTGGTCTCACGATTCGATTCGATTACGATTATCCTGTCAACGATTCGATTCAATTCGATATCCCGATGCATCCCGATGCATCACGATTCATACCAATGCGTTGCATCCTCAATTTTCTATATTACTGCACATGGCTTATTTTTCATCAATGCATACATGCAGTAAATACATATGAACTCTCTTTTTATTATTTAGAAAGTGCTTCAGAAATCAATAACATAAATGTCTTGACATTCATTTATAAACCAAAATAAATGAATTGTATAGGTCTAGCCTCCTGTGTGTTCCATCCTCAAAAACAAAAAACGAATGCTTCTGCAGTCTAGCTGCAGCTTCTAGCAACGGTCTTCTGTTTAAAAAAAGGACACTGAATGTCCTGAATGTGGCATCACACACAGGACTTGAGTCTGAACACAGCAGACAACAGGAGTATTTACAACAGCATATAACAACTAAATACTGCATGTGGGTGCACACTTACATTCTCTGTCTTACTGTTGCATAAATCCCATGAATGTATGAGATTAAGTTAGCTTCATTATATCTCAGTGATTAAGTGAATAATAAAGTTTCTATCGGGTCACTATCAGCCTGTCACTCATTATTTTCAGGGAGGGGGCGGGGCTTGGAGGAACGGAGAGGAGATGGTGATCGCGGAAGCTTTTTTCCTCCTGCCTTCACAAACTTTACACACGTATATATCGTCTGAAAATTGCTAGAGGACATTCATACTCTGCAATCCAAGACTTAATTAAATCCACCAAAAACCTGACATGATTGTAACGCGATTATTTTTGAAAACATAAATCTCTGAGCCGCAGCGACACGGAGTGATTCAGAGCGGGTC